GTCTGTCTAATTGCTCTGGCCAGTGTTTCAAGAACTTTGTTAAATAGAAGTGGTGAAAGAGGGCATCCCTGTCTTGTTCCAGATTTTAGAGGGAATGCCTTCAGTTTTTCTCCATTTAGAATGATGTTGGCCTGAGGCTTAGCATAGATAGCCTTTATGATGTTGAGATATGTTCCTGTTATACCAAGTTTTTCTAGCGTTTTGAACATAAAGGTGTGCTGTATTTTGTCAAATGCTTTTTCTGCATCTATTGAGATTATCATATAATTCTTATTTTTAAGTCTATTGATGGTGATGAATTACATTTACTGATTTCCATATGTTGAACCAACCTTGCATCCCTGGGATGAATCTCACTTGATCATGGTGCACAATCTTTTTTACATATTTTTGTATTTGATTTGCCAGAATTTTATTGAGAATCCATGGCAGTATTTAAAAAAATAAAATTTGTAGTTGTAGATGGACAGATGCCTTTATTTTATTTGTTTATTTTTGTGTGGTGCTGAGGATCAACCCCAGTGCCTCATGCATGCTAGGCAAGGGCTCTGGCACCAAGCCCCAGCCCCAGCCTACCCATGGCAGCATTTTGAGGTAGGGAAGCTTTATGAGGCAGGGCCTAGTTGGAGGTCTTCCAATCACTGGGGTAAACTGTTTGGTCTGCCATGCACTCCTTGCCATTACCATCTGACACCCCAATCAGAGGCCTAAAAGCATGGACCTACCCGATCGTGGATTAAAATTTTTTAAACTGTGAGCCAAAATAAACCTTTCAATTTTATAAGTTGATTATCCTAGGTATTTGTTACAATAATGGAAAGCTAACATAAGAGGAAACATAAATAAACTAATTTTATGAGGTTGAGCATTTTTATTTTGGGGATGCTTTTTAATTGCTAATACAAGTTCTTTAATGCTGTGTTAGTCAGCTTTAAGTTTCTGTGACCATAATACCTGTTAAGAACAACTTAGAGGGGAAAAGTTTATTTGGGGCTCACAGTTTCAGAGGTTGAGTTCATGGTCTGCTCAATCCACTGTTCTGGGCCTGAGGTGACAAAGAACATCATGGCAGAAGGATGTAGTAGAGGAAAGCTGCTCAGCTCATGGCAGCCAGGAAGGAGAAAGAAAAGAGTTGTGTAAAGCCAGGGAGAAGACACATAATTCCCAAAAGCATGTCCCCAGTGACCTACTTCCTCTAGCCATTTACCTTCTGCCTACTGTTACCACTTAGTAATCCATTCAAATTATTAATCTATCAAATGGATTAGTCCACCGATTAGTTAGGTGGCAGCTCTCATAAACTCATCATTTCACCTCTAAACGTTGCTACACGAAAACCTATGAGCTTTTGGGGGTCACCTTATATCCAAATCATAACAAGTATTTATAGGAGTAGATTGTCTACTTCATCTTGGCTGAGTTTTGCAGTATTTAACTTTTTTAGAAATTGGTCTATTTCTTCTAAATTGTTATATTTCTGAGTATAAAGTTTTAATATTCCTCTATAACCCTTTGAATAGCTATTGCATTCTGTAATGAACTCATTACTGGTTATAGAAATATATATTGTATTTCTGAGGTTAGTAAATTGTGTTTTGTTTTTATTTTGTCTCTTATTAGAGATTTATCAACAGTATTAATTTTTTGATGAGCTGCTCTTATCTCACTGATTTTTTTCCATCATTTTTAGGTTGTTAATTTCATTGATTTCACTTATTATTTTTATTATTTGCTTCTTTATGCTTTTTTGGGTTTAACTACTTCTCCTATTCTAGTTTTCTTGAAGTAGGAACTCAAATTATCATAACACCTTTATTCTTTTCTAATGTAAGCATTTGGTGCCATAAATTCCTCCCTCAGCACCGCTATACTGTATCCCACATATTTTGGCATGCTGTATTTATACATTTAGCTATAAATATGTCTGATCTTTTATTCTTCTTTAATTCATAAATCATTTAGAAGTATGCTAATTTCCAAATGTTCTTAGACATTTTTCCTATTGTCTGTTATTGATTTTTAGTTTAATTCCATCATAGTCAAGGAACACAGTGTGTATGATTTTGTTTTTCATAAATGTATTGAGGTTTGTTTTATGACTCAGAATATGAAATATCTTGGTGAACACTTAATGGGCACGGGCACGTGAAAAAAATGGTGCATTCTGTTGTTGTGCATACTGTTGTATATATATATGTATGTGTGTTAGTCAGATCCTGTAGGTTGATTGTGTTGTTCATATTTTCTACGTATCTTTATTGATTTCTTATCTAGTAGTTCTATTATTGACAGTTGCTGATAGTAGAGTGAAGACGTAACTCAAGCATAACTGAATTTTTATATTTCTCCTTTCAACTCTATTAGTTATGTTTTTGATGGACAGAATGCCTTTATTTTATTTGTTTACTCTTAAGTGGTGCTAAGGATCAAACACAGTGCCTTACCATGCTAGGCAAGTGCTCTGCCAATGAGCTACGGCCACAGCCCCAACTCTATCAGTTTCTACCTCATAATTTTGTAGTTCTTTTGTTGGATATAGAACACATTTATCTTTTTAGTGGATTAATTCTTTAATTATTATTAATATACTTATTTGTAGTAATTTGTTTTGCTCTTGTCTACTTTGATATTAGTATAGCTACATATACTTCTTAAAATTAATGTTTACATGGTATATTTTTTCATTCTTTTACTTTCAAACTACTTATTCCATTTTTTCTCTTTAAAAAGCACACAGCTGTATGTTTTTTATAGACTGCCAATTTTTTCTTTTCAACTGGTTTACTTATTCATATTTGAAGTAATTATTGATATGTCAAGGCTTAAATGTGTCATTTTATTACTTATTATTTGTATTTCCTCTGTATTTCTGTATTTCATTCCTCTGTGTGTCTTCCACTTCTATGGGTTACTTCAATTATTTTAGAATTCCATCTTAATTTATTTATAGTTTTAGAAGATGTCACTGTATATTTTTTCTTAGTAATTGGTTTGGTTTCCATTATACATACATGTCCTGCCAGTGTTTTACTATTTTGAGTAAAATGTGGAAACATCATGTCCATTTTAGGTCCCCCTTTTTTCCCCTCTTAAACATCATTGTTATAAGTAACAGAAGATATTATAATTTTTATTTTAATTGTCATATATAATTTAGAAATCATGTGGAAACCATAATCTACTATACTTTATCTTTCTATTGTTCTTTTTCCCTTCCTGATTCCTTTTTTTATCAATTCTTTTCTGCTTGAAAAACTTTCTCTGATCAATATTTAACAGTAGTCTCCTAGCAGCAAATTCTTTTAGTTTTCCTTTTTGAGGAAGGCTATTTACCCTTTACCAATAAAGAAGCATTTTGGTAGAAAACTCATGGTTGACATTTCTTTTGTTTTTGCACTTGAAAAATATTATGTCATTTTCTTTTGATCATCTGGATTTGTTGGGAAATCTGATATTTGTATGGTGTTCTTTTACAGATAATGTGTTATCTCACTCTTGCATTCAGAACTTTTCCCTTTGTCTTTATTTTCCATAGGTTTAATTATGATGTTTCTTGCATGTATTTCTTTAGTTTATTCTATTTAGGGTTTTTTCAGCTTCCTGCATCTATGGATTATGTTTTTCATGAGCAGTTTACAGGCATTATTTCTTTGAAAACTTTTCTAGTCCTACTGTCTGTCTCCTCTGAGACTCCAGTACCATTTTATCATTCTTTCACAGATCCTTGGGGCTCTGCTCATTTTGTTTCAATCTATTTCTGTTATAATTTTGTATAAATTCTATAAATCCTTAAGTTCACTGWTTTTATTCACTCTCTAGTAATTGTGCCTATCTAGTGAAATTTTTATTATTATTGTTGTGATTGTATTGTTAATTCTATAATTTTCATTTGAATCTTGTTAAATACTTCTATTTATTTTACATGACTATTTTTTCATTTGCTTCAAGAGAATGTGTAATTAGGCTGTATTTGTGACCGATGTTCTAAGATCATTATCAGATAACTGTAACATTCAATACATTTTGGTGTTGATTTTTGTTAACTCTCTTATTCAATTACTGATTTTCCTTATTTATGAGAGATAATTTTCTATTTTGGTGATTATGTTAGAGAAGATCTATTTAAACCCTTTATTTTAACAGGTAGTCACCCTATTTAGGTTTAGCATGCAGATCCTTGCCTATACTTTAGAGATGTTTAATAATTTTCCCACAGCTAGAGTTCCCACTGGTCCCTGCTGAAGAACTTGAAGGGAAGAAGAAACTTTATCAGGCAATGAGGAAAGGGAGTTTGGCCTGACAGAATGAAGACTGTTTCCTGAATCAGGTAATTTCTTTTTTTTTCCCTTTTTGGTGGTTGGCTCTCCTGCTTATATATCATGAGTGCTTCCAAAATGGATTTGGAAAGAGAACAGAAAGTGATTCACAGTGAGGTGCTGGTTATGGTAGAATCACTCTTGTCAGTGCCACACAGTCTCAATATGTCTTTCCATAGGAGAGAGGAATATGAGGGGCAAAGATGGGTTTGGGAGGTAGAGAAGGAATAACAATATTCCCAGGCTGAGTGTCTGTCATAGTGGGATTCCACTTAAATATGCTTTTTGGTCATAGAGAGTCTCTGATGTGGCAGGGAATCTTAAGTCAGAAAAAGGAGAGCACTTCCAGAACTGCAACCACTCACTGTGGCATTAATCTCTTTGCTGGTACCCCTAGCTGTGTGGTCTCTGGATGGAGGAAGGGAATCCTGGGCCCTATCTTGTTTTTTAAACTCAAATTCCATATAACTTAGAGACATGAAAGCAAAAATTAGGGTACAAAATCCTAGTACAACTACTAGACATAAATTTGAGAAGATGGTTCAACCATCATAGCAATACTCAGTTGCACAGAAAGGTTAAGAGTATATTTAATAGGATACAGTCTAAGGAACATGCTATACAAATATCTCAAGGTAAATGGTGCCCATTCTCACACAAAAGAACAAGAAAACTATGTCAACCTCTACAACTCTTTTCCCTGAGTTATGCTGCAATCAATACATAAGGTCTTTGCTACAAAAGTGCCACATGAAGGAACCACTTGTATTGGGAAATTACTGTTGAGGACATTATGTAGTTTAATGCTTTCTAGAATAGTTCCATACAATAAATTCCTTTTAGGATTTAGTAGCAAGAAAGAGTCTGATTCTTTGGAACTGGTCTCATGTAATATAAAATATGCTATTTATGTCTTCATTTTTGTCTTGATAGCCAAGAAGCTCAGAGCTAAATTTAATATCTTAATAATTAGCAAGTTTATTTTAATGTTCTCTTCAATCTACTGATTTTCTATCCCAGTTTTATACTGTATAAATGTTTAGAATGACACCATGATGCAAATCCATTTTGGAAGCACTCATGATATAAAAATAAAAAAAGATCTTTTGTAACAACAAGGATTCTTTCTTTACATCTATTAGTTTAGGGCTACTAATCCATTAGGGAATGAATACTGTACTGGACTTAGAAAAGGGAATTAGAATTGGACAGCTACACATAAATTATGAAGGTAAACTGTAGAAGCAAATATACTTTGGTGGCTGGGGTCTCACTGTTGCCACAATTACTGTAACATCAACATTCTCACTAAAGCTTGGAAAAAAGGAGGTTTAAATTCTCTTACTTCCAAAAGGACTGTATCTTCCTACAAATGCCTTCCTACTGAGAAGTACACAGCAATTCAGAAAACTTGCCTGCTGCTTCTGTTTACTACATCTCCTCATTTCCCTGTTGATCTGGTGGCATCTTAGACATCTACAGCCTGGCTATACATAAAGAACCTTGACAGGAAGATGCTGTAAAGAATTGAATATGAATCATCACAGCTGCCAAAAAAGAAGAAAACTATAGTTACACACATATAAACAGCCATTCTTTTTGCCCTAAATAATAATAAAAAGATACAAATTTTTTAAATGTACATAGTCTAATGTATATACTATCCTAGATCATAAGCTACATATTTGCCCCAGAAAAATGCATAATTACAAAAAATACTTTGCTCTCATAAAAGGCTTATAGTTAGTCCCACTGTTAATTTAAATGAAAATCTTTACTTAATATTTCTTAATTATATCATATAAAGGGAAACTATGTATACTGAAATTTTACCTCTTTCAATATCATCCATTAGAGATGTTGGGGACATCTTATCTTCTGATGGAGAATGTTTTACAAGATTGGGAATGCTTGTTGAATTCTGCATTTGCTGATGCTGTTGTTCTATACGATGCTGAATTTTACTGCTTCCTTCAACTCTGCAATTAAGAATATCAATGATCAAAACAGGTGTGTAAGAGCTGGGGATGTCGCTCAGTGGGTGGAGTGTTTGCCTACTACGTGGGAGGCTATGAGTTCAATCTCTAAGTACAGCAAAACCCAAAAATAGGTATAATAGTAATAATGTCAACTTAATGAAGTTACCAAACTTGACCACTTCTTTTACTCAGAAATCTTTAATATAATATTCAAGAATGGAAATATTAGTTTAATTCATTATTTCTCAAGTATTTATCAAGTTCTTGCCATTCGCATGGCATGCACACAGGTCTATTTAGAACAAAAACAAAACCACCACTCAATTCTGTACATAGGACATTCACAAATGACCAAAATAAAAGAAAAATATGTTTATAACAGGTTGAAAGTATTCTCTAAGTTCTAAATTTACTATTGCTATAAAACGAAATCATGCCAGCATGGTGGCACATGCCTGTAATCCCAGTGGTTCAGGAGGCTGAGAGGCTAAGCAACTCAGTGAGACCCTATCTCTAAATAAAATACAAAACAGGAGATGTGGCTCAGTAGTCAAGTGTCCCTGAGATCAATCCCTGGAACAAAACAACAATAACAATAACAACAACAAAACTATATTCATTTCTACATTTTCCATTCGTAACTTAAAGATATTAGTAAAGGAGATTCATATGCTTTCCTTTTTCCTTTTCTTTCTTTAAGAAAAGAGTACATAATAAAATTATGCTTGACCTCTGCCTCTCACATTCCCAGTCATCAAATCTTGTCAGCTTTTCCTTTACAAAGTATTTAGCACTTCACTTTATTCTTCATTCCTGCTCTCAAAAATCCTGGTTTATACATTTTTGTTTCCCATATTATCTCATTTTACTCAGTCTCCTGATGGGATTAACATTTCAAAACAGAATTAAGATATGCCAGATACTGATTACAAAGATTTTAATATGTAACAACTGACATAAAAAAATCTTAATTTCTTAGTTAATAGTAAAGGCATTAACCTCAACCTTACTTTTACCACCTTACCTCTAACTCACTATTGACATCACCCCTACCTTATTTTCCAATACTTATATACAGGTACAAAGAAAAAATTCTGCTCTGTTCCAGGAAGTCTGATTCATTGGCCCTGAAAAAGTAAAAAATATCCTGCCTTCAAATCTTGCTTATATCTTTGTATTCTTTCTGATCAATATAAATTAATATTTTCCCAACTTTCCTACTAGTAAGAATCAAAGAGGCTGGAAGGGATAGGTGAAGGTGAGTAGATATTAATAAATAAAACTACCCAGTCTCTTTTTTCTTTTCTTTTTCTTTCTTTTTTTTTTTTTTTTTTTTKTGTGTGTGTGTGTGTGTGTGTGTGTGTGGTTGAACTCAGTGGTGCTTTACCTCTAAACATCATCACTGGTCCACATCCAATGTTTATAGCAGCACAATTCACAATAGTTTTAAAATATTTTGAGACAAGGTCTTGCTAAATTGTTCAAGGGTCTCACTAAATTGCTGAGGCTAGCCTTGAACTTGTTATTCTCCTGCCTCAGCCTCTTGAGACACTGGGATTATAGATGTGTGCCACCAGGCTAAGCTCCAGACTCCTCCTTTGAGCTAAGGTTGGATTAAAACTCCTCTTTTTTTCTCTTTTTATTTATTTCTTACATAAATGACAATAGCTACATTCATAATTATTCATTCACAGCACAGTTTTTTGTAACTCTCTATATAAAGTATGTTCACACCAAATTATGCCATTATACATGAGCTCTCTTATTTTTTTATATACAATTCTTAATACATCTTTATACCACCATTTATCATATCTCTGTATATAAGGTATGTTGACACCAAATTCACATCTTCATACATGTATTTTGTATGATGATGACCCTCTCCTTCCACCATCCTAGCTATTCCCTTTCTCCCTCCTTTTCCCTTCCACCTCTATTCCCTATCTAGAGGCAATTTTACTCCCATGCTCTCCCTCCCTACCCCACTTTGAGTCACCCCCCTTATATCAGTGAAAACATTTGGCATTTGGTTTTGGGGGTTTGGCAAACTTCACTTAGCATAATCTGCTCTAATGTCATCCATTTCCCTGCAAATGCCATGATCTTATTCTTTTTTAGTGCTGAATAATATTCCATTGTGTATAAACACCACTTTTTTTTTATCCATTCATCTAGGTTGGCTCCAGAGGTTAGCTATTGTGAACTGTGCTGCTATAAACATTGATATGGCTGTGTCCAGATAGTATGCTGTTTTTAGGTCCTTTGGGTATAGTCTRAGAAGAGGGTCAAATGGTGGTTTCATTCCCAGGTTTCCAAGAAATCTCCATACTGTTTTCCAAATTGGGTGCACTTATTTGCAGTCCCACCAGCAGTGGACGAGTGGACCTTTTTCCCTACATCCTCGCCAACACTTGTTGTTTGTCTTCATAATGGCTGCCATTCTTTCTGGGGTGAGATGGTATCTTAGAGTAGTTTTGATTCGCATTCCTCTGATTGCTAGAGATGATGAACATTTTTTCGTATATTTGTTGATTGATTGTATATGCTCTTCTGAGAAGTGTCTGTTCAGGTCTTTGGCCCATTTACTGTTGGGATTATTTGGGTTTTTTTTTTTTTTTTTTGGTGCTTAACTTGTTGAGCTCCTTATATACCCTAGAGATTAGAG